CTATTTGCTTTTTCCAGGCTAATTTAGTCATTTTTTCCACCTTGTGAAGATAAGGAGCTGCTAATCTGGGAAAAAGTAGCCAAAACAGTGAAAAGTTGGAAAAAATGACTAAATTAGCCTGGAAAAAGCAAATAGTTCCTGGCACGCGCTGCGGCCCGTTGACGACCGCCCTAATCAACTGCCCGGATGACGAGGGTATGTACGTACGTACCGTCAATATTTTCGAATGCTGTTGGTTTGCCTAGTATTGGGTGATAGCGTTCTCTTCTGCCTTGAAGACGAGAAGTTTCAGCACTAGGTTCTGAACAGTTTGATTATTCCTTTTTTTTTCTTTTGGTGACATATATTTTCCACACTGGCCATATTCCTTCAGTACATATGTAGTTCAAGACTTGATAATGACGATCCTTCGCGCAAGCTGGTATCCATTTTTTCTTTCCAGTTTGGAATTCTCGTGGCCAAACAGTTTCTTCCACCCGATACCACCTCCCTGGCATTCTGTGATGGGGCTGACAGCTTTGCCGTAGCAGCGCCTCGACGTTCTCATCTGAGGTCCATGGAATAACCCTGCTGGAGAAACCTGTGCGAGAGTCAATGTACTTCGCGCTCCTTGATAACGCTTGGAAATTCCATGAGTTCTTCCGATCTTTCTCCCTCTATCGGTTTGAGTGGGGCCCCTTCCAAAGTTCCGACGAAACGCTCTGCTTGGCCTTGAATTACCTTACCTAGATTACCTTTACGCGACTTCTCCCTGAAAACTTCAAATTTCGCAAGTCGACTTTGAGCCATCTGTTCCGGTCCTGCGCGCGTCTTCTCGACTGTTGTGCAAACGTTTTTACTAATGGGTCGCCCTCATTTTCGGACTTTCTTTGGATCGTGTCTGGTGTCCAGTGGGATCCAATCCGTGAGCTGAGAGGTCCACCTATTCTCCCTCAATTGTGCAACATGACCGGCCCATTCTCATTTTCTTTTATATAGTTCCTGGATACACATTCCACCTCGCCTTCGAAATTCTGTGTTCGGAAGAAGATCTCGTAGAGACCCTTTACAGATTTTGCGCTCCATTGATCTTTGTCCTACAGCAAGCACCTTTCAGCCTTAGTGGACGTCCAACACTTTGCGCCGTACAACAGTGCGGGTGTTACGGTTGAGTGGTATAGTGACACCTTCAGATTCATCGGCAACTTATCGTCTAGCGGCACTGTTGAAATTCTGTTGAAAGTGGACCAGAAAGCGACGATGGTGAATTTATCAGACGCAGAAAAGCGGCCGTTAGATTGCTGTTGGAAAGGCGATGAGCGGGAGTTTAGAATGCCTTCCTTGTCGCGAAAATCTTCAAACTCTTGAAATAAACTGCATTCCGTTTTCGCACACAATTATTCTCAAATTTTGTTCTTTTTTCGAAAACCCTTCAAAAACACAATATAAACAAGCTTACGCGAGAGCTATGGTCCCATCCGGTGAGAGCGTGTTTGGATCCAAGAATACCTCGCCTTTCTCAGTCACGTTCTTCTGTTGGTAAAGCACGCTGAACCATACCAAACACTACTCATTCATTATTCATAAAAGCTTTATCAAAATGTGAGTGGATCTTTTGAAATCTTACGATTGATTTTGAAGCCCAGTATTATGGAAGTAGTAGTAGAAATCTCCATGCTTTGATGGACAGCTGTATTTCTCATAATCCCATAATTCGGTAAGCCTGTAGTCAAGCTGTTATAGCAGGAGTAACCTCGTCTTAATTCAATACATTTCGGCAAACCCTACCAACCGTTTTCTGATCTTCTCGCGACTTGGAGCTTTGGCTAGGAACGATTCCGAGATCGCATTAAGCTGATCGACAAAGTGACGCGTCTCTTCAGCGTCAGGATCCTCCATCCAGCGGTATGGATCAGGGACCTGAGGAATGGTTGTCAGTATTTTGTTTTCTTTGTTTGTTTCGTCACTACTTTCTTGTGCGATCGTACATCTTCTCTAAATTGAACTTGTACCATAGGTAGGGAGGTCTCTGGTCGGTATGACTGCCATTTAACCTCAAGAGCCTACACCCAGGGGAGCTGCTAGTTATAGAGGTTAGTATGTGGACAAGCTAGTGTTGGCGGGTCTGAGACTGGATTGTTAGGGATAGGGAATACCTAACATCCGAAAATCCAGTTTCCGATTCCATGCTTAGTTGTCGTCTAGGAGTGACGTTTTCCCTAGCGTCATCCGCCACTGAAGTTAATATCATCAAGGAGGAGTGACCCAGCTCAAAACACCCCTGAAACTGGTAAAGATCTGGCTTTTTCATCAGGTTTTAGTCTCCTGGTAGAGATCTGACTGGAGACTTTCCACCTATTTTTGGTGATCGTATGCTACCTCAATTTGATGTTAGGTGAGACTGAAGTTTCGCCCCATTACTCATGTGTTGTAAAAGCGCACCTATGCGTGCATCTAATAAATGAATAAATAAATGAACTCCGTTCAGAGAGCCGTTCCGCAAATCTGAAGGTAGATTCGAGTTCACCGTCCCAAGACTCGTACAACGGTGTGCACCTCATTGGAAATGGCCGGGCTGACCTGTTGACGTTTCCTGGTGAGTCTAACGATATTTGGTCATCATCGATCCATTTGGTCCGAGTGTGCGCCGTGCATTACGCTTCTACGCAGAGGTGGTGGAAAGGTGTAACTTCTGATTTTAGGTGATTTTTGTCCATGCAAGCAGAAGTTTGTGGTTTGAAAAGAGCGATGCTTACGACCTTCTTTGAATATATCATTCAGTCATCTACGTACTTACAAGTTCATGCTAAGTATATACATATTAGTAGACAATCGTTCCAGTATTTTGTGGTCTTCCTTACATTGGGGTCTTCCGCAGCTTTCCGTCTGCTCCAATCAAACTTAGCGATGACAGTTTTGTGTTCCTTGGTGCTCACCGACCCTGAGTTTACACCCCCCCCCCGTCCCTCTCCAGCGGCCGAGTACGACCCGCCCGATGGGTTTCGCACAACGATGCTGTACCTGTTTTCAAGGCAAGTTTATGGTGGCAACAAGAGAAAGTGGGACTTTGAGATAAAGCAATCACAAGACAATAGTAAAAGGACCGATGAAGGCGTTGAAACTAATTTTGTACACTAGGATTCGCGGACGAAAAGACTAATTCCCTCAGAAGGGCACAAAACCAAGGTCCTACCAACTCATCACACTCAAACGAACGTGGCGCTTGCTCTCAAAGGGTCTTATTGTGCAGACTCAAATTCCGTTGTAGGCGAGCCATTTCTAACTGAGATGAGACCATCTTTCAGAGAAAATTGGTTCGCCTATTCTGGAACTCCTTCACTCCCCTCGAGCTCAGGCACAAGCTCTATCACTTGCGGTTCGCATTCACTTCATCGCATGTTCTAAAACGAGTGCAACATGAAAAAAAGCGAAAAATTCAGCGAGAAGTGGGAATTGCAACACTTTTTAGTTTTGCAGGGCTTACCACGCATTTGTAGGTCTCCACAATACGGCCCGGTCAGTACCGCTACTAGACTCGTACCCAAGACGTGATAACTCGTCTCCGTGTAACGCTTTCAGCCACATGTGATTTACACAATATAAAATGAACGGGGACTGGTAGAATCCATGGGGCCAGAAGGCTAATCCACGGGGTCAGAAGGCTACATACTTACACGGCTAAAAGCGACATAAAATTAGGAGCATTGGATCAAACACTTGACACGATAAGTTTGAGGTCGAAAAGGCCGGCTCAGCTCATCTTGAAAAACATCTATCTCGAGCGGCTGACAACACGCACTGGACTACCACGTATTAGGTTGTAGAGAAAGTCCTGCGGCCTTTTGATTAAACTGTTCTAGAAGAATACCAAAAAAGATTTTTGATGTTTTTACTGGAGAGTGTTCCCTGAGGTTTTTTTCAGAAGGGTATATTATGACTTTGTGGAAGCTTTCAAAGCCTAAAAGTCTCCCAAAGGTGAATGTACTTTTGAGCTCATCCCATATTATGAGTTCCTGTGAGGCCGCCATGCCGTACTCAAGGAAGCTAACCACTGCGTTGTATTCAAGAAGGATGTCGGTTGTCATGGCAGATGTCCCGTTTGTATTAGCGCTTGCAAGCTGGAATCATTTCATTCGAAGGTAGGAATAGGTCTGCCAACAACACAGAATGGCGGTCTTTTGCTTAAAGTCAGTTGGCACGATAAATCGCTATACAGATGTAGGATTTATCACGACTGCTACAGAATTGACCTTCGGAGCAGTAGTTCGTGGCGCGCTTTTCAAAGGAGCGTACCCCTGTAAGAGCCTTATTGGAGAACACAACATTCCGCGTCTACACATTGCTCGCCCGTCGCCACAGAAGATGGACGACTGTTCGTGACGCTCTAATCGGTTCATTTGCTAAGCAAATTATGAAGCGAAGGGATTGGTATGAAGCGGCCGTGAAGCTGCATGCATATATGGGTACACATATGCAGCCGTATCTTCGGTAGCGGTGATTGGCAAGATGCGTACGGGAAACTCGTCCGAAATCGATTTTCAAGTCACTGAGAATGGAAGCTTTCTCGGCTTTTGTTTCTTTCCCTTTTCCAGCCCGGATTTCTTTGACGCGTTTCACTCGTCTCTTTCTGCGCCATTTCCCCACTACATAGCGTCCACTTGCATTTTAGGCTGAGTGGGAAACTATCGTGCCAACTGTCTTTAATCTTCTAAAAACGCCGCCGAACGAAATTTACCGGTCAGTAGGTTGGGAACCTCTTTAGGGTGCACCTTCGTGACAAGTGCGACAACTGCCATGCTTCTCCGCAATCTCGATTATGTGGAAAATATTTTTGAAGGTGCCTCAAGGGTTGGAGCAGTCTGACGAAGCTGTGAATGGTCATGACTGTTGTGAGTTTCTTTTCATTGCACACAATGGACGAATTTGTGAGATCTTGTGGTTGGTAGCGAGTGTTGGAGTCCTTGCGTAACTATGCACACATCCCTCACAGGATCTCTCAAGGAGAAAAGTAGATTGCTTAGCCAAAAGCAGATGTGCATGGAATAAAGATTTCACTGTGTTATTGGTGGGGCTTCAAAGCAGTGTCGATGGATACTGGCACAGTAATGACGGCTACCGTCTACGCTCCTTCTTCCTCTCCCTAGCGTTAGTCCCGCGCCGTCGCAGGGTGTGCTGGGCTACAGTCCTCACTAATCAACGTCAAAACATGGATGATGTCACTCTTGAATCCATTCAGGGAAACTCATTTTCTTTCTACTACTTGGCAATGCGAGAACTGCGTGAGGTTCAGGCTACGGGAAAAGATCATGGATGCCGGCCAGGGAATCCCAATGTACCCAGTTCATTTGATCAAGCTAGCAGCCTCTAATTACCATCTCCTCTGATCCCTACCGCATCTTTTGGGAGCCAAAATTCCAAAACTCGATGGTTGTCGAAAATGAGGTCTACCCTTTTCTTTTTATCGTAGGTGCCGTACAAAAGTGGTCACTAGTCCTGGTCATAAATGGTGATTACTTAGTAAACTGGTGTCTCTCAATGAAGGAAAATCTGGTCCGAAGATTTGGTCAAAGTGTCGCAAGACTTTCTTTCCAACCTAATAGATAAGGCCGAGGTCAACCGAAAGTCTACCATTGAATATTCTGAATACTCTTCTTCGGATAACACGATTTTACCATTCTGAATAATGTAAATTAGGCTGACTAAGGATCAAAACAGTTCAAACCCACAAATATTAATGTTCATTGTCAATCAATTCAAACCAACCATAGTTCCGTGAAAGTTGTCCACAACTGACTCATCACGACGAGGCAGTTGGATAGACAGATGGAGAGATTTGAATCGACGACGATTGTGGCGAATGCTTCATCATCAGCTGGAGCGAGCGGCGAATTGGAGTTCGCTTGAAACTTGGTGCATTATGCCCAGTTAAGTT